TCGGGCGCTTGCCTTCCCTGACAGCCAGCCGCGGGAGAAAGGTGAGCAGTAGGATACACTGCGTGGCGAAGGGCGAGCAGGCAGTGGCTCCGCGGCAAGGCCGGAGTTGCAAAATGGTGCATTCCCCGACTCCGTGGAATGGGGCGGGTGGGCGGAGCCTCCAGCTGCCATTGCTACCGGTTTTCCGAACTACCGGCCATCATCGCTACCGGATTGGCCGATCTGGTCCGATCCGGTAGCATTTCACCCCTGCTCCCAGGGGAGGTAAGGGTTTGTTCCCTCTCCCAGCACTGTTTTGGGATGTGAGGCAGGGGTGGGTTCTAAATTTTTTTACTACCGGTTCTGTGGGCGTGGCTTATTTTGTGGGTGTGGCTTGGTGGTCATGTGACTAGGTGGGCATGGCTAGCTGGTCAGAGTCATTTCTGGAAGGTCCTCGCACTTACGACCAAGTCCTCGCACTTACAAGCTGACTCATTTGTTTGCTTTTAACACTGATCAGCTGTAGGGCGGCCCTTTAAAGCCCCGCGGCAAGAGTTTAAACAGTTTTTTTCCCTCTAGTCCTTAGCTGGGACTCAGGAGGAAGCAATAGATTGGGGGTGGGACCAAATAAAAGGTAAGAATAATGTGTGGGGGTTTGGGAGGGCGGGGGGGGGGAGAACCGGTTTGGTGACGTCATATCGTCACCGCTACCGGCTCGGCCGAACCGGACCAAACCGGGAGGAACCCACCACTGATGTGAGGTCAAAAGGGGGGTGTCATGCACATGCGCAGGTGGTGGGAGGGGGGTCTCGTGAGTATGTGGGGGGTCGCACGCGCATGTGCAGGGGGGCAGGGTGTGCGGGAGGGGCATTGCATTATGGGTGTGCACGCACGATAGCACGCTTTTGGCACCGGAGGAGAAAAAGTTTAGCCGTCACTGTTCTAGGTAGTCCTTGACTTACAACAGTTCATTCAGTGACCATTCAGAGTTACAGTGGCACAGAAAAACGTGACTTATGAAGTTACAACCTTTGCAGCATCCCCTGCAAAGGTCATGTGATCAAAATTCAGACGCTTGGCCACTGACTCATATCTATGACGGTTTCAGTGTCCCCAGGTCACGTGATCCCCTTTTGGGACCTTCTGACAAGCAAAGTCAATGGGGAAGCCAGGTTCACTTAACAACCGGGTTACAAACTGAACAGTTGCGTCGAGTCACTTAACAACTGCGGCCATAAATGTTGTAAAACGGGGCAAAACTCCCTCAACAAATGTCTCACTTAAGAACAGAAATGTTGGGGTCAATTGTGGTCATAAGTCGAGGACTACCTGTATGAAGGAGCTCCTGGCAGCTTGTTGAGAGATTTGGGGATCACCTTGCTTGGTGTGGATGCTTTTTATGCTATGCTTTTAACCAATAGGTAAAGGTAAAGGTTCCCCTCGCACATATGTGCTAGTCGTTCCCGACTCTAGGGGGCGATGCTCATCTCCGCTTCAAAGCCGAAGAGCCAGCGCTGTCCGAAGACGTCTCCGTGGTCATTTGACCGGCATGACTAAATGCCAAAGGCGCATGGAACCGCTGTTCCCTTCCCACCAAAGGTGGTCCCTATTTTTCTACTTGCATTTTTTTAACATGCATTCGAACTGCTAGGTTGGCAGAAGCTGGGACAAGTAACGGGAGCTCGCCCCATTACGTGGCGCTGGGGATTCGAACAGCTGAGCTGCCGACCTTTCGATCGACAAGCTCAGCATCTTAGCCGCTGAGCCACTGCGTCTGTTTATTTATTTATTTATTTATTTATTATTATTTAACTAATAATAAAGTTTAAAATCCCTTATTTCCTGGCATGGTTGTTGTTGTTTTTTCTGGCTCCAGAAGAACCAACCGCCTGGAACTTCATCCCTGCCTCGACACTGGACGAAACAGAATCCCGCAGCACCTTTTCTGAATGGCAACTTTTATTAACAGCTTCGGTGAGCTGCGTTTCATTTAATCCAATGCATAGATTGGCTCGACGGGTGAATGCCTGCAGCTCACAAAAGCCGCTGCCTTTTAATAAAATTTGTTAGTCAGACAACTTACCGCGGGGCTCCGTGTTCTATTTTGTTATAATATAACGCAGATATGTTCTCCCTTTCGGAAAACCTCTGCTTTTTTTGCTACCGTAAAACAATCTTCTATATAGACCAAGGGGGTTAAACTCAAGGCCCGGGGGCTGGATTCTGCCTGCGGGGTGTTTAGAACTGGCCTGCGGGGCCGCCCTGGAAACAGCAAAGGCCCGGGTGCCTCTACTAGGGAAAACGGAGCTCGGGAGGGCCACGGACGACTCTCCCAAGCTCCATTTTGGCTGGCAGAGAGTTGCAGGAGGCCGTCGCGGCCGAAAACGGAATTCAGGAGCCCATTTCACTGGTAGAGCTGATGGCCACCACAGGCGCCCCCGACACAAATGATGTCGAACTGCCACGTCCCCCCTGCTCCCCCGAGATCAAACACAACCCTGATGCGGTTGAAATCGAGTTTGACACCCCTGATATAGAGGGTCCTTGCCACAGTCTGAGCTTGGTTGTTTTCTTGCCAGACGTTTCATTACCAAACTAGGTAATCTCATCAGTGGTTGGTAGGGAGTGGGGTTTGCTCTCATTTTATATTTTAGTGGCTTGCCCTGTCAGTAGGAGTGGGAGTAAGCCTTGAAGGTTCTTTGGTTGGGCTGTTTACTGTTGGCTTGTCCGGAATATCGTTTGCTTCTTGATTGTTGGCCTAACAATGGTTTAATACCAAGATTAACATTCGACCAACGCTCAAGAAATAAACAATACCCCATACGAGCTAACAGTATAAACAGTTCAGCCAAGGAACCTCTTAAACCATTTCCACCCCCACTGATAGGGCAAGCCATCAAAATATAAAATGAAAGCAAACCAGTTGTGGGTTTCAAAATTTTTTACTACCGGTTCTGTGGGTGTGGCTTGGTGGGCGCGGCATGGCTTGGTGGGCATGGCAGGAGAAGGATACTGTAAAATCTCCATTCCCACCCCACTCCAGGGGAAAATTAATGCAAAATCCCCATTTCCTCCTGATCAGCTGGGACTTGGGAGGCAGAGAATAGATTGGGGCAGGGCCAGTCAGAATTTTTACTACCGGTTCTCCAAACTACTCAAAATTTCCGCTACTGGTTCTCCAGAACTGGTCAGAACCTGCTGAAACCCACCTCTGGAGCAAACCCCACTCCTTACTAACACTGATGATGTTACCTAGTTAGATAATAAAACGTCTGCGAGAAAACAACCAAGCTCAGAGAGCATCAAAGACCACCTTCATTTTAAGCCCTGAGCTACAAATATCGATAATCTCCTATATTATTAAAAAAAAAGAAAAAAACCCTCCACTTCAGGTCTTCTGTTATACGATCCAGTGCAAACTTTAAGTCTGTCGAATGTAAAATTCCTTCTCTTGCATTCCAGCTCCGAGCCGGAAATTGGATTCAGCAGCTGAAACAAACCTTTCTCATTTCAACGATTTTCAGTGACTTTCCCTCTGTTCTCCTGTGACTTTGTTAATTATTTTGGCTTTTCTGCCTTTGCAAAGGCATCCCCGCCCTGCCTCGACGCCCTTCCATTGTTCCATTGTTTGAGGTGGGTGTTTGGATGGTACATTAATTTGAGAAAAGGAAAGGATGTTGTTTAAGCAGAGACAGAGCTGCCAGTGTAAGCAGCGTAAACCTGCCTTTTTCAACCTTGGCAGCTTTAAAAAGTCTCAGACCTCAAGGGATGCTCGCTGGGGAACTCTGGGAGTTGAAATCCAGACTTTAACAGTAACAGTAACAGAGTTGGAAGGGACCTTGGAGGTCATCTAGTCCAGCCCCCAGCTCATGCAGGAGACCTGTGCTAGGTATTTGAACTGCCGACCTTTCTGATCGACAAGCTCAGTGTCTTAGCCACTGAGCCACCTAGTCAGACTTCGTAATACTGCTATTAACGATACTGAAATATATAGGCCAGGGAAGACCTTGCTCTGCGTTAACAGATTGAAAGTCTCGTTTCTCTGATAAAGGAGAAAACTCAAAGTCCCAAAGGCATGCTAGCACTGGTCTCGTTGGGTCAACGATCTGCAAGTCCACACAACTGTCAAACACATTCCCAGATAGACTGCCTCTGACTCTGAGAGTTCAACAGTAGTGGCCAAAATTGTGGAAACCTTTTTGGGAAAAGTGTATTTTCTAAATCTAGCTAATAACACCACTTTTTGGGGGTAATAGTATCATAAAATTATATATCAATGGAAAGATAATTTAATGAAGAATGTAATGCAGTAGCTTTTATGAAGGATTTTCTATTAGAATAGCAGTTACAGTATAAAGAAGAAAAATGAAACACGTAGAAAAAACGTGGTATACAAAAATGATCACCTTAGAAAAAATGAGATATACAAAAATTATCCGAATGTCAGTTAATCCTTAGTTGGGTAACCTTTAGCATGAATTACGGCCTTACAATGTCTTCCCATGGAGTGAACCAAGTTTTTTAGTTCTGCAGCTGTTCTCATGTGAAACCAAGATTGAATGATTACTTCTATGAATTGGGTTTTATTGCTGGGTCGCTTCTGACGAACAAGTTTCTTTAGTCGGCTGACTCAGCTCCCTAGATTTTCAATTGGGTTAAGGTCTGGGCTATTCCCAGGCAATTCCAGCAGTGGAATAGGATTATCTTGAAACTCCAAAAAAAAAAAAAAGTGTTGTTATTAGCCATCAAATCTCAAAAACACACTTTTCCCAAAAGGTTTCCACAATTTTGGCCACTACTGTAGTCAGCTCTGTAGAAAAATGGAATCTACACATTTTTCCTTCCCTTGAGCTAATCTTGTCAGTTCTTCTAAACTGGGGCTTGGTTTCACCAACACCAGAGCACATAAGCCGAGTTCCTTTTTGTCACCTTTTGAAACCAATTCCTGCTTTTGATACCTTGGATCAAGCAAAGCGGAATCTGCTCGGATAAAGGCCTCCCCAGCCAAGAAAATGCCTCACCTGAGTGCAAACTGTTCTCTTTGGCAGAGTTGCTGTTGTTCAGATAATCTTCTTTGCAGACAAATTTGTTCTCGTCGATGATATAAAGTTCCTCGCCGGTGGACAGTTGTTTGTTGCACATCATGCAAGTGAAACAGTTCAAATGAAAGACTTTGCTTCTGGCCCTCCGGACCAAATCGCTCGGAGAGATGCCCTGCGCACAGCCGGCACACTTGGTACCAAAACACCTGGATGGAAGGGAGGGAATGGGAGAGAGAGAGAAAGAGGAGGGGGGGAAGGGAGGGAATAAGGAAAAGGGAGGGAGGGAGGAAAAGAATGGAAGATAAAAGTGAAGTAAGTAAGTAAGTAAGTAAGTAAGTTAGGAAGGAAGGAAGCAAGGAAAGAAGGAAGGAAGGAAGGAAAAGGGAGGGAGGGAGGAAGAGAAAAAAAAGGAAGGAAAAAGGGAGGGAGGGAGGAAAAGAGGGAGGGAGGAAAAGGAAAAGGAAGAAGGAAAAGGAAGGAAGGAAAATAAAAGAGGGAGAAAGAAAGGAAAAGAATGGAAGTTGGAAGGAAAGAAGGAAAAGAGGGAGGGAGGGAGGGAAGAAGAGGAAAAGGAAGGAAGGAAAAGAGAAGAAAAGGATGGAAGGATGGAAGAAAAGGAAGGAAGGAAAAAGAGTAAGGAAGGAAAAGAAGGAAGGAAGGAAGAAGGAAAGAAAAGGAAGGAAGGAAAAGGGAGGGAGGGAGGGAGGGAGGAAGGAAAGGAAAAAAAAACAGATCACCAGTGAAATTGATCAGGAAAGAATTTTGATTCAGATCAACCATTTTTCTGGTTAAAAAACCCGAAGAAGGATAATCATGACTCTAATCCAATTAGACCTGCCAATCCACCCACCTGGTGCATCTCAGATCGGTTGAATCAACTCCTTTTATTTATTTCTTGGATTTCCATCCTCTTTTATGTAGGAGCTGAAAGAGGAAAGACTGGCACCCACCCACCCCTTATTTCCCCCCCACAACGGTCCTGCAAGATAAGTTGGGCTAGGAATACTGCCTGGCCCAAAGCCACCCAGGGAACCCCTGTACCTAAGGGTAAGACTAAAACCTGGGCCCCCCTGCTCCTAATCCAGCACCTTCCCCACCAGATCCAAAGGTGCTTTTTCCAAGAGGTAACTGGACTTTCTGGTTTTTCTTTGAAGACATTTCGCTCCTCATCCAAGAAGCTCCTTCAGCTCTGACTCATTCCCCACCGTCCAGTCAGAGCTGAAGAAGCTTCTTGGATGAGAGAAGCGAAACGTCTTCAAAGAAAAACCAGAAAGTCCAGTTGCCTCTTGGAAAAAGGACCTTTGGGACAACCATGTAGGATTTGGAGGGTTATATAATCCGATGCCTTTGAAAAACACACATTATTGTGATGAACAACTATCAAGGAAACCACATCTTGTAGTGTCTCACCAGGGTGTGTAAACTCAACCTTTCTCTCTTCTTCTCCTCTACAACAGAGGTTGCAGTTACAACTTTGAACCCCCTTTATTGATGCTGGCAGAAGTTTCTGCTACTTCTGGTTCAGCCTTATCTGAAGGCTTCTACCTCTGTTACAGTCGGAGAGACACACTTTTCCATTTTTTAAAAAAATTGGGGGAAGAAATCCATGATATTATATACCATGTTTTTCAACCTCAGCAGCTCTAACAAGTCTGGACTTCAAGTCCCAGAATTCCCCAGCCTGCACGCTTGAAGCTCTGTGGACTTCAACTCCCACAATTCCCCAGCCTGCACGCTTGAAGCTCTGTGGACTTCAACTCCCACAATTCCCCAGCCTGCACGCTTGAAGCTCTGTGGGCTTCAAGTCCTAGAATTCCTCAGCCTGCATGCTTGAAGCTCTGTGGACTTCAACTCCCAGAATTCCCCAGCCTGCACGCTTGAAGCTCTGTGGACTTCAACTCCCACAATTCCCCCTGCACGCTTGAAGCTCTGTGGACTTCAACTCCCACAATTCCCCAGCCTGCACGCTTGAAGCTCTGTGGGCTTCAAGTCCTAGAATTCCTCAGCCTGCGTGCTTGAAGCTCTGTGGACTTCAAGTCCCAGAATTCCCCAGCCTGCATGCTTGAAGCTCTGTGGACTTCAACTCCCAGAATTCCCCAAATTGCTTTAAAATGCTTAAAAGATGATTGAAGGCCTTGGGACTTAAGACACATTTAAGAAGAAGTCCACACATCTTAATGATAAAGACTTATATATATATTTATATATACACACAACATTTCACTAGTAAATATTATCTTAAGCCAAATTGCTCTGGCTTTGCCCTCTTTTTTTGTGTTTTTTGAAAATCTATTTCCATAAGGTATTGTCAGCTGAAGTCATTGGAAAAAAAACACCATGAACTTGAGAGGATCAATTGTTTGGTTTTTAAAAAGAACTTTCTTTCCTCTTTCTTTCTCATTGCAGCCAGAAGACACATTCATTAAAAAAATGCATTTAAGGAAGGGTGAAATACAGCTAGGGGGCAGCACCGAGCCAGTGTTGGCAAGTCTCAGGAGGAGAAACTGAACTGAGCTGAGTTCATATGGAATGGACACCACCAGGAGATCCCAAGGACATGGAGTGGATCAGGGAGTCAAGGAAACTTTCCAGAAAAAAAGAAACGTCTTGTTTCCAAAAAATTAAAGTGTGCCTATTTTATCTTCTTTGGGGGGGAAACAGAAACAGGACAATAATGTGACATTTTAAACATACGTAGATAAATAAATTAAGTTTCTAAGTGCACATTCATGCAAAGGGGAAAGTATTTCTCTCCACTAGCTACAGAAAAATGATATATAGGAACGGAAAGAGAGACTTTCTGCTTACTAGCACCAAATTTAAAAATAAGATCGAACAGTGTTCCTATTCCCAAACCATACAAGACTACCCACTTTCTGAGAGCATCTTGACAGTAGTAAGAGGAAAAAAGACAAGAAGAAAAATTCAGTATAGAACCAAAGCCCAGATATATCTTTTATCCTTTCTTTCTGATCCAACAAACACTCAAAGCAAGCAGTAAAATGGTAAAAGACAGTAGAAAAAAAATTCAAAAGCATAAAATTAATGCTTCAATCCATTAACCAGCAAGAACCTGGTGATACGAGGTGGCTTTTTCTAAATACCAAGAGAGAACATGGCTTAAACCAGGCCATCCTGTTAAACTCTTAAAAAGGATTTATTTGCATGTATATAGCATGTTACATGAACCCAACGATGGTATTTGGATCATTCCGATTTAGAGGTTTAGCACCGAGCGGTCATAACGGAATACAAATTACAATTTCCATTACATTTAATCAAATGCGCGGCGCTACCTACATACCAATAATAAAATCCCCGTGTCTGCGAAATGTATTTATTTATTCGTTTGTTCGTCGCATTGATGGCCCTTCTTTTTTTTCCAGAGGGCGCTTTTCTGAATCAATTCCTTTCCCCCCTCCAAAAAAACCCCAATTATACGAGACTCACTCTCGGTTTTATCCCGTGAAAACAACCTTGCTAGGTAGGTTGGGCTGGAGAAGTTGAGCAACTGATTCAAAATCACTGTTGAACACCCCCCCCCCCCCCCGTGGTCAAGAGGAATTCAAACCACAAGAGGTTTTAATAGAAACCTTTTTAGAGGTTTCTATTTAGTGTCTTCGATCCTAACGGAAAGAAATCAACCATCTTTGGAAGAGGACAGATCCTGAAACTCAACTACTGTATTTTTCGTACTATAAGACACACCTAAATTTAGAAGAGAAAAACAAACAAACAAAAAAGGTTTTGGCCTGTGCGTGTCCCATTTTTGGGCCTTTTTTGGGGCCTTCTTTTGCCCTTTTCCAGCCTTTTCTTGGCCTGTTTTTTTCTGAAAAAAAAAAACAGGCCGGAAAATGCCTCAAATATGGGCCAAAAAAAGCCTCAAATACGGGCCAAAAAAGCCTTGAAAATGGGCCAAAAAAGCCTTAAAAATGGGCCAAAAAAAAGCCTTGAAAATGGGCCAAAAAAAGCCCAAAAAAGCCCCCCAAAAAGCCTCAAAAAAAAAAAAACCCAGAAAATGGGCTGAAAAAAGGCCTGAAAAAGGCTGAAAAAAGGCCTGAAAACGGGCATGAGGAGGCTAAAAAACAGTCGGTGGCTTCAGCAATATTCGGTCTATAAAACACACAGACATTTTCACCCCCTTTGGGAGACAAAAAAATGTGTCTTATAGTCCGAAAAATACAGTATTTTGGCCACCCAATGAGAAGAGACCTTGGAAAAGACCCCGAGGTTGGGAAAGATGGAAGGCCAAAGGAGAAGGAGACAGCAGAGGATGGAGATGGTTAGATAATGTCATCCATTCAATGAACATGAATTTTGGCAAACTCCAGGAGACAATGGAGGACGGGGGGGGGAGGGGCTGTGCTCCATGGAGTTGCGAAGAGTTGAAGTGTCGGACAAGACGTAGCAACAACAACAAATCTATCGTCTTGTCTGGTTTGTTCTTGGTGACCGTTTATTCATTTGCATGTGTATATCGCATGTTGGCTTTTTATTCCACTAATATATATAATATATATATGTGTGTGTGTGGTGTGTGTGTGTGTGTGTGTGTGTGTACAGTTATATATATATATGTATGTCTCTTTAGCCAGGTTCTACCTACATAAACCAAGATATTATGCAGCCCTAGTTCAGTGAAATCACAATTCACTAGTTTCTGGGGTTTTTTTTTTCTTCTGGTAGCCAGCAGACCCTTTGCTGCCCATTGGGAGACTGCTGGCTGCCAGAAATGAAAAAAAGCCCAGAAACTAGTGAATTGTGATTTCACTGAACTAGGGCTGCATAATATCTTGGTTTATGTAGGTAGAACCTGGCTAAAGAGACATACACATAAAACCTACGAAAAAGAAATATATATATATATATATATATACATATATACATACATAGTTTGGTCACCAAACTTTCTAAATCCTGCGTGAGCCCAGATTTTTTTACAAAGTGGGTGGATTACAGCAGTGGTGAGCTCCTAAAGAAAAAAAACGACCGGATATTGGAGAAGTCTAGCTACGTCAATCCATTCAGCCACAAAGTCAAATCACTGTTAATCTGGCCTACCAATCCATAATCCATAGCCTGAAGACGTCAGACCTTGTTGATCTTGGTGGATTTCTGGAAATTAAACAAAGTTGGACCTGGCTAAAGTGTATTAAAAGACAACCCAGAGATTCGCAAGCTGTAAGCTAGATTCAGTAGTCTATAG